AAAAAAAAAAAAAAAAAAAAAAAAAAAAAAAAAAAAATCTCAGAACAACCCTGCTGTCAAAGTAGGCAGGAGCCCAAAAGCCGTAGCTGCAACCCCACATGAAGGGGAGGATTAATAATTTCTAGGCTGTCTTTTAATTTGAATATTCTAGGACACTATTTGAAAGACCTTCTGCACAGAAAGGAAATAAACCAATATTTATTGAGTAGCTACCCTTAGTAATGATACTACTAGCTTTTATTAGATATTTGCCAAGTTCTTACAGGAGCTTTGTAAGGAAATTTTTTTTTCCATTTTACAGAAAAAATAGAGGCTCAGAGAGGTTAAATGACTGACTCAAGAAGACTCAGGCAGGAAGAGGGTGGCGAAGCCTGGGCTCAGCCAGGTCTTTTCTAACCACCATGGTGCCCCCTCATGGTTACTGGCACCATTCTGGGGCTCCCACATCCTGTCTCTCATCTATGCAAGTCACTTTGAGACGTACAAGGGGCCTTGGGTCTAGTCAGACCCTTATTCTTGATTAAAAAAGGAGATTCCAAAAAGATGACCAGGGGCTGGCCAGTTAGCTCAGTTGGTTAGAGCGTGGTGTTACAAGACACCAAGGTTAAGGGATTCGTTCCTATACTGGCCCGCCACCCCCCGCCAAAAAAGATGACCAGAAATACAGGTATAATCCCCCAGCTATGTGTGTGAGGGCTGGGGCTCCAACAAAGTGAAGACACTCCCCAGACGGGGAGGTTTCCCACAGAAACCAATGCTGCCCAGCGTGAGCTTTCCAATAAACGCCAATTCCAGGACCAGGGCCCCAGGTCAAGGTGCTGATCACGTCTGTGAAAGACAAAGCTGGGAAATGTAAATGAGGCAAATAAGACTAATAATAATCTTCACAGCTGGAAATGCTGACCAAAGTCATCTTGTGAGACCACAGAGACAAATGCCAAGTTCAGCATTCTGAAGACCAAACAAAACACAACACAACCCCTAAACCGTCTGCGCCTCTGATGGGAGCTTGCACTGCTCCTCGGCGTGACCACCAGCGAGCTGGAGCCCTTGCGGCGCCACCTCGCGAGCCCTGACGTGCCAGAGACCACAGAGGCAGCTATTCCACGATGCTCTTCAGATCTTTAAGGGGAGGTGCACTGCCAAGTGGTGTCCACATTTAACGGGATAAAGGGTCTGAAGACACATGGAAATGAGCGGCACGAGTGACACGGGATGCTGAGGGGGTGGAACAGGAGTGAGGGAGTGGAGAGCCAGTATTAACTACTCTCAAGGCCACCATGCGGAAGAAGGCGGGACTTCAATGCATAAAGGGTCAAATATGATAGGGTGTCGAATGTGACCCACTGTGAGGAGAATTTTCACAGCAATGCAGAACTTGAAAGCAGCCGAGCAAGCTACCTGTGCAAAGCAGTGAGCTGCTCCCTGCCCAGGGTTCAAGCAACAGGCACAATCCACACTTTCTTACCTCTTCTCCTTTCTGGATCCTCCGGTTGGAGCTGATGATAATTTTGTGTCCTCTCTCAAATGTCACCACTTCAGCCACACAATTAGGTGCACATGAATGGTTGATATATCTGCAAGCCACCATGTGAGAAAACTATTTATTGTAAAACAACTAGAAGGAGCTTTAAAAGTGGTAAATACATAGGGAAAACTTTTTTCTAATTATATTTCTATTTGCTATTAATAGGAAAAGTACAAATATAAATTTTAAATAAAAATTCTTCTGGAAACTTAGTGGTCTGAATTCTCAATCACTGCAAGGCTGCGGTCAGAGCACGGCAGCCCTGCTCCAGGCTTCTCTCCACTAGCACTGACCCACTGCACAACACAGCCCTGCTGCTCAGACCCCTGTCTCACCTCGCAGGCCCTCCTGTGAGCGTTGCATCAATCACGTGGTCGTTATCCATGCGGAACATGTACACGCCACGGTTCTGAAAGAGAAGGCAGGTGCTCAGTGTGCGTCTAAGACTCCCCTCCATGCTCATGCCCACCCCAAGAGGACAAAGTTGAAACTGAACTGAAAAGCGACCTGATCACACGCCCTGCGGTGTTCCACTGACCACAGGCAGAAGACATCTACATGGTACACATGGAAAGCACTGAATCAGCACACTGCTTGTGAAGCCAGACTCATTAGTCTACGTTTATATTTATGCAACTAACAGTACCAATTTAAAAAGATAAAAACCGATGGAAATAGACAAAAGTACAAGAATACCCAATACGGCTTCTGTTCAAAATGGAACACAGCATGACAGATGTGGGCCTACTTTTCGGGGTGTTTGGACGCACAGGGACAGAGTGGATGACTATGGTCAGGCATATATGACCACAGGACCAGACACCTACCTGAGACTCATAAAGTTTCTCTTTTCTGTTTGCTACTTCATTTCGAATGATAGTCCCGATATATTCAATGACCATAGTGTGCTTCTCAATGTCTCTAGCAGCATATAGTCCCAGTCCCTACAAAAAAAAAAAAAGTGTGCATACATACTTCAATTTATTTGACAACAAATCTACATTCTCTTTTTCATACAAAGGTATAAGCCTTAAGTCTATATCTAAAGCCATACTTAAGGTTTCACTTAAATTATCTTTCTTATTAAATATGCTATTTTCTAAAATTTAAAAATCTGACAATTACAACCATACCATCACCACCTTGCTCCTATGTCTTTTTTACAGTCAGTTCCTATGGTATATCTAGAGAGTAATACTGCCAGTTGGCTGCCCACGTTTTCTACTAGACTATCTTATCTTCCATGGACCACCATGCTGAGTTCCCACCAACTCAATAAGCTAATGGCTTCTGGTATTTATTTTACCCAATACTATTTCAAAAAGGACTTGACATAACAATGAATTTAATAAAATAGAAATAGGGCTAACTGTACGAAATTATTAACACTATAAACAGGTTTCAGATTTGGCTCTGAGTTTCCTAGAAGCCAGGGCAAAGAGGAGAAACAGGAAAAGTCACTTTGCTCTAATAATTTGGAAAGTTGCAAATAATGAAGTTCTTGGGGAAGGCAAATTTTTTCCCCTAATACAAAATTCTGAGGCTGGAAAAGAAATGTACCAGAACTTGAACTGGCTGAAACCCCAAAGCACCCCCTCATCCGGCAGCTGGGACTGTCTGCCGCAGCCTCCTTCACGGCAGGCTTTGTGCACCACTGTGAGCTTGTAGCACTACAAGTTCTGGAAAACGACATGCTGAAAAACTGAATAATGCCCATAAATATTTGTATTTTCTTGTCCCAGTTTGGGCCCCTGTGTTCAATTCTGACCAGAAAGCAGTAATGGAGAAGGGAGGCAAGCACGTGCAGCCCGGCAAACCCTGGTGGTTCTCCATCGAGCACCGCCCCAGAGCACGTGGCACTACAGGGGCACCTCGCATTGCTGTGCTTCAGAGATACTGTGTTTTGTTGACAGACTGAAGGTTTGCAACAAGCCTAAAGTAAGCAAGTCTATCAGTGCCAGTTTTCTAACAGCTCACTTCATGTCTGTGTGTCACATCTTGGTATTTTTCTCAGTATTTCAAACTTTTTCTTATTATTCTCGTATCTGTTATGGTGATTGGCGATCTCTGATGTTACTACTGTAACTGTTCTGGGGTGCCATGAAACTGTACCCATAGGAGACGGTGAACTTAACAAATGCTGTGTGTTCTGACTGCTCCATGCCTGGCCGTCCCTCCATCCCTCTCCCTCGCCTCGGGCCTCCCTGTTCCCTGAGACACAACAATGTTGAAATTAGGCCACGATGGCACTGAAAGACCTACGACGGCACTACAAAGTGCTCAAGTGAGAGTCCCACGTCGCTCACTTTAAACCAAAAGCTGGAAATGGTTCAGCTTAGCAAGGAAACTGTGTCAAAAGACAAGACAGTCCAAAAGCGAGGCCTCTTGCTCCAGGTAGTCAGGTTATGAATGCATAGGAAAACTTACTGAAGGGAATTAGAAGTGCTATTCCTGGGCCAGCCCAGTGGCGCACTGGAGAGTGCACCTCTTGGGAGTGTGGTGGCGCTCCCGCCGAGGGTTCAGATCCCATGTGGAGACCGGTTCCCGCTCACTGGCTGAGCGCGGTGCGGGCGCAACACCAAGGGTTGCGATCCCATTGCCGGTCCCGGTACGGGTGCGACACTGAGGGTTGCGATCCCGTTACCGGTCAGTAAAAAAGACAAAAAGGAAAAAAAAAAAGTGCTATTCCTGCTAACACACACATGATAAGAAAGTGAAAGTCTTATTTCTGATATGGAGAAAGGTTTATTTTTTCTTTTTTTGCTTGCCTGTATGCGGACTGACCCCCCAACCCTGGTATTATCAACACCACTCTCTAACCAACTGAGCTAACTGGCCAGCTCTGATATGGAGAAAGTTTAGTGGTCTGGACAGAAGATCAAACCAGCCACAACATTCCCTTCAGCCAAAACCTAATCCAGAGCAAGGGCCTAACTCTCTTCCTTTCTGTGAAGGCAGGGAGAGGTGAGGAAGCTGCAGAAGGAAAGTCTGAAGTTGTCAGAGGCTGGTTCATAGGTTTAAGGAAAGAAGCTGTCTCCATAACATCAACGTGCAGGTGAAATAGCAGGTGCTGATGCAGAAGCTGCAGCAAGTTACCGAGAAGATGTAGCTGGGATCACTGATGAAGGTGATGACACGAACACCAGCCTTGTATCAGAAGATGCCATCCGGGACTTTCATAGCTGGAGAGAAGTCAATGCCTGACTTCAAAGCTTCAAAGGGCAGCTGACTCTCTTGTTAGGAGCTAATGTAGTTGGTGACTTGAAGTTGAAGCCAATGCTCATTTACCATACTGAAATCCTAGGGCCCTTGAGAATTATGCTAAATCTACTCTGCCTGTGCTGTATAAATGGAATGACAAAGCCTGGATAAGAGCACATCTGTTTACAGCACGGTTTACTGAATATTTGAAGCCCACTGCTGAGACCTTCTCCTCAGAAAAAGAGATTTCTTTCAAAATACTACAGCTTATTGGCAATGCACCCGGTCACCCGAGAGCTCTGAAGGAGGTGTACAAGGAGATGTGTTTGCATGCTGCTAACACAACACCCATCCTGCGGCTGATGGATCAAGAAGTAATTTTGACTTTCAATTCTTATTATTTAAGAAATAGATGTCATAAGGCTATAGCTTTCATAGACAGTGATTCCTCTGATGGATCTGGGTAAAGTAAATTGAGAACTTTCTAGAAAGGATTCGCCATTCTAGTATTTACTGTTTGTTTTTTTTTGGCAGCTGGCTGGTACGGAGACCGGAACCCTTGACATTGGTGTACAAGGCTGACCTCTAACCAACTGAGCTAACTGGCCAGCCCAGACTCACCATTCTAGATGCCAGTAAGAACATTCACCATTCATTGGAGGAGGTCAAAAGATCAACATTAACAGGATTTTGGAAGAAGTTGGTTCCAACCTTCATGGATGACTCTGAGGCATTTAAGACTTCGGTGGAGGAAGTCACTACAGATGTGGTAGAAACAACAAGAGAACTACAAGTGGAACCTGAAAATGTGACTGAATTGCTATAATCTCATGATACAACTTTATTTTTTTTTTATTTTTATTTTTTTTGTCTTTTTCCATGTCTGGCAATGGTTCGCAACCCTCAGTGTTGCCCCCGTACCGGACCGGGACCGGCAACGGGATCACAACCCTTGGATTTTTATTTTTTTTGTCTTTTTCCATGTCTGGCAATGGTTCGCAACCCTCAGTGTTGCCCCCGTACCGGACCAGGACCGGCAACGGGATCACAACCCTTGGTGTTGCCCCCGCGCCTCGCTCAGCCAGTGAGCGGGAACCGGTCTGTATGTGGGATCCGAACCCTCAATGGAAGCGCCGCCGCGCTTCCCAAGCGGCGCACTAGCGCAGTGCGCCACCGGGCCGGCCCTCATGATACAACTTTAATGGAGGAAGAGTTGCTTCTTACGGATGAGCAAAAAGAGGTTTTTTGAGATGAAACCTGCTCCTGGTGAAGATGCTGTGAACATTGTTGAAAAGACAACAAAGGATCTAGAACGTGACATAAATTTAGTTGATAAAGCAGCAGCAGTGTTTGAGAGGACTGACTCCAATTTTGAAAGAAGTTCTACTGTGGGTAAAATGCTATCAGACAGCATCGCATGCTACAGAAAAATCTTTTGTGAAAGGGATGAGGTAAACTTCATTGTTAACTTATTCTAAGAAACTGTTACAGCCACTCCAGCCTTCAGCAACCCCCACCCCAATCAGTAGCCATCAGCACTGAACCAAGACCCTCCACCAGTGAAAAGAGTACAACTTGCTGAAAGCTCAAATGACCATTAGCATTTTTTAGCAATAAAGTATTTTTAAATTAAGGTTTTAAAAAATACAATGCTATTGCACATTTAATAGACTACAGTATAGTGTAAACATGACATCTATACACACTGGAAAGCCAAAAAGTTTGTGTGACTCGGTCTACTAAGATACTCACTTTATTGCAGTGGTCAGGAACTGAACCTGCAATATCTCCAAGGTATGTCTGACTTATCTTCTGATATGACTCAGAAGTGAACAAAGCAGAACACAAAACAGAATATGTATGGAGATCAATACAGTTTGGTTTAAGAACAGACAAGATCAGTGGAAACGAATACAGAATTCAAACAGATCCCTGCATATATGAAAATTTAATGTAAAGTAGTAACAGTGGTATTAAAATTCAGTGTAATATGGATGGGTTATTTACTAAGTGGTGCTTCAACAATTATTTATCCAATGGAAGAAAATAAAATTGTCCTTAAAAGAAATTTCTGCAAGAAAAAAATGTAAGAGAACACATATACAATCTGTGGTCTTGGCCAAGACTAGCAGCTATATAAAATTATATATGTCCATAGAAAAATTAAAATTTTTGCAAGGAAAAAAAGATACTAAATTTCCTAGTAGGTATATAGTCCAAGCTGTTACAAATTGAAAAATAGACAAAGGAGATGAATATACAATTCCCAGAAAAGCAAATCCAAATGACAGACATGAAAAGCTGCCCATTCATCAGTAGGTAGAAACTGCAATATCAGTCTATAGGTAAGTATACTTACCTACCACAATGGGAAAACGAACAAAAAAATAGTCTCATGCACTGCAGGAGACTTTATAGCCTTTTTAGAAAACTTTTTTTTAGAAAACTGGCAATACCTACTAAAATGAAAAGTACCTATACATTTACACAGAAGTCTAACTTTTGAGAATATATCCTAAAGGAATGAAATTATCAATACAGGAGGGTATTTGTACAAAATATTGATGTCAACACTTTGTTGTGAGAAAAACTGTCAACAAAATAAACGATCACCAGTCGTGGAATGGCTTAATTACAGTACGTCAACATCATGGGACATCACAGAGCCATTAAACAGACGATACGGCACGACCTCAGCTGATCCAGAGAGACCTCAGAGAAAAGTGTACGTAACATGATTTCATTTTTATATATGTTCATAGATGTGTATGTACTTCTAAGATATAAGCATGGAAAAATACTGCATACATACCAGATCATTAACATGACTACCTGGGAGGGGGTGGGAGAGAAGCTGATAGACCAGAAAGAGGAAGGAGGCAAAAAAAAAAAAAACCTAAAACTCTCAAAAATGCTTCAGGTTAAAGGTGACAGGTTGAATACAGATAGTGAAGATACCACTAAAATCACAGTGAAGGAACACTCCTCAAAACAGAACTATCTTGAAACATTTAAAATGGAAAAGTGATATAGCAGGAGAAAGCTACAACTCAAAGGAGCAGAGACAGGCACTAACTTGCCTACGGATTCTGAGAGGCTCAACAGAGAACGGCCACAGCAGAGAGGAAAGAAAGATGTTTATTCACAACATGAAAATGAGATGTCAAAAAGACCAAAAGCAGAAAGGGCTCTGAGCTGATTTACTTTAAATGCATAAAAAATATTAGCAAATAGAGCAGAGGAAGTTGCAGAAGGAAAAAAGAGACAAGGAAACCATAAACAGAAGAGGGGAATATTAGTATATGATGGATGTTCTTCTGTGGCGTGCATTAGAATCATGCAGGGGGCCCCACCTCTAGAGCTGGATTCCATGAGGCTGGGCTGGGGCCCCCACACCTGCACATCTTAAGTTCCCAGGTGAGGCTGATGCTGCTAAGTCTGGGTCTGCACTTTGAGAACCCAAATCTCAGGGCTCCAATATTTGTCTACACGTGCAAACAGAAAACAGAGGGGAGAAACTTGCAGAACTATAAATACAAAAGACATTACTCGGACTGAAGGTCTCAGTGCTCCAGACTGAAAGGGCCCATCCACTGAGAAAAGCAATAAATAAAAAAGGCCTCAACTCAGATCCATTTTTGTAAAGTGCCCAAATATCAAGAACAAAGAGAAGATCCTAAAAACTTCCACTGAGGAGGAAAAGGTTCTAAACAAAGGAAAGAGAATGCAAATAAGTACAAACAATGGAACGTTGATCCCATTTATCTTTTTAAAAGACAACCAGTGTCACCTGAGTAGGGATGGGGAGAGAGGAGACAGCCAGCTCTGCAATGGTCTAGACAAGTGAGATGCAGATTGACACGGGTGAGAGCCTGAGAGGAGACTGGAGAGAACTTTTGGGAGGAAAAAAAAGAAAAATCAATGGAATTTGATGATGCTTTAGATCTGGGCATATAGAGGCCAACTTAAACAAATGGTACCATGACTTAGTAAGATAGGGAGCCAGGAGGATAATCAGGCTTAAGGACTGGAGAGTTTTGGCAGAATGAGAGCCTTTATAATTCCTTTCTGGGACATCCAAGGAGAGGTGCTGAATAAGCACTTAGATATTTAGGTCTGCAGCTCAGGCAGGAAATACGGACTACAGATGTAAATTTAAACGATTAGCCCACAGATGGCCTTATCTGTAAGATATTCCACAGTCTATTAAAAAAATATGTAATGATTTCATGAAAAGGTGGCTTTCGAAAGATAAAGTAACCTCCAAAACTGGAGTATCCTTTTGAGAATACTTTCTTTTGTATTTTTCACAAATGCCTGAAAGAGCTCTACCAAACTCTCCACAAATCCAGTGTGTACAAAATATAATGCTACCTGCTTTCCAAGAGCTCTCACCAAGATGCAAAGACGTGGATTCCCAAGGTCTGCTTTCCATTTGGGGAAGTCAAGACTACATACTGAATTACTAGTGTTACAAACTGGATATCAACATTTTCAGATTTCTCTTCTCCTTTCATCTTCTCTTTCCGAACACAAAGTATTTCTCACCTGAATGCGAGACCGGGCCAGATACACATTGGATTTCCATTCAGTCTTCATTTTCCGGTATTGTGAGGACTTGGAGTGGACAAACTGTTTACTGTAAGGTGCATTCAGTTCTCCAGTGACTGTGCTCTGAAATGACTTGGAGGTGCTGGTGCTGTTCAAGGTGTGAGGCCTGCAGACAATTGCATAGCAACAGGAAAAAAATAAAAGGAAAACTGAAGACATCTCTGAATAACGCCCAAAGCCAGGTTGATTCAAACTCTTACCGACAGAAACATACATGTAAAGCTGCCTAGCAGAGACACGTAGCGAGCTCTCTGCTGTGGTCAGGCACATACACAGCCAGAGGCAGCAGGGTTTGTAAGCAGCAGACAGGTCAAGCACAAAACAACTAATACGCCTAGAAACCCTGGGCTGTACTATGTGAAGTTAAAACAAAATACCTTAACACAAACCTCTTGACATGGGCACTCATTTTAGGTTCAGAACGGGCACAACCTGTGGGGTTAACAGCAAGAGGAAGCTCCATGAGAGGATTTCGGCCATATCGGAAAGTATAGTTTTCACAGGCCTCAACCCCAGGTAGCTGAAAAAAACCAAAATAGGCAAAAAGTTAATTTATTTGATCAAGACTACAGACAATGTTGAGCTGGCCAAAGGATGGCCCAATATGGAAATAACTTGTAAATATTTTCCGTGGTAACAAAATGGTCTTTTAATTAATGTTAACATAATCAGCCTGTACTCAGACCTATTTAGGTATGAATATGCAAATTCAGTTTCAAAGGAGAACTTAGCAAACCCTGGCAAATGCTCCTTGTAGAAAAAGATTAACCCGTAGAACCACAAGCCAACCAATGTGCATGCTTGTGTGATTTTAGAATCTAATTATTCCAACGAATTCACAAACACAGGAATGTAGTGATTCCCATCTTAGTTCTTTCACCTAGATTAATGCCAACTTTTATATCTCTGTCTGGAATTTTAAAATTAAGAATAGTTAATCACTTATATGGTTTACTGTTTCAATCATTTCTCACTTCTTTCAATTTGACTATAAGTTTATCACTTTCAACATCCTAGGCGTATAGGTGCTAACCAAAGGCTTACTTGTAAAATAATTTATATGTTAAAGGTCTTTTCTAGAATACATATCATGTGAAATGCAGTTCTGTGCAGTCATAAAAGCTACGTATCATTTAGACACAGATATTCTGAAGGAAGCAATGAGGCTTACTACTGAGTGGCTTTTAGGGAATCCTCTCCTTCTCCAAAGAAAACACACCAATGATTTGTTTATTCTCGATAACAATGCCTCATAATGACACAATTTTCCGAAAGCATTATATAGATGCAGTTCAGTCAGACTTACTGTCACACATGCTTGTAATCTTTTACGCAAAGACATGTCAAGACATTAGCAAGCGCTGCTGCAATACACTGCCCCCTGGTGACTAGCCCTGGGAAGAGGCAGGAGGGTGGCCATAAATACCAAGCATCAGGACAAGTTCAGAAAGCCAAGGGGGAGAGGAGGACCTTCGGCCATGCTGCGTAACCAGAGGATGAGACAACCCAATGGTGTCCTTTGCCCTGGTTGCCTTCAGCCTTGAAGAGAACCTGAAGTTTGCTGGCTACCTCACTGAGTGAACATTAACACATCCTGAGGTCTCCTGATCAATCATCAGTGCCTTATTTGCTTTAAGAGAAACAGGGGTTAATCCCCAGGCAAAGTCACTTTCTGAAAAGTATCACGAATATTACAGCAGATGTTCAAGTCAAATCTCTACCACGACACTCACTGATTCAGCTATCCGTGCCACTGCAGAGACGGTCAGGCCAAACAGATCTTCCCCTTTTAAATATGCTGGAAAAAGCTGAAGCATTTCAGATTTTTTTCTCACACATGCCACAGGCTCCAAAATTTTATCCCAAACACCTACATATGGACAAAAAACACATAATTTTTATAGTAAACTTGCTTTTAGCTAAACGGAGAAAGAAACAGGATACAGCATAGAAGCAACAGCAACATGAAGACTAACCACTCACGGAGACGCACTAACTTTAACTTCCAAATGAAACCTGCTGGGTAGTAAGCTAACAAACCTGTTTATTAAATGGTGGCAATTTATTTTAAAGACTTAATAAAATTTTGAGGAAAATAAAATGTTACACTGGGACATTAAGCAGTGAAAGTTTAACTGAAATCCATGCAAATAGTTAATTCACATTCATAGTGGCCATATAACCCACCAGATTTAAAAATAATTAGTCCAGTTAGTAATGTCTATAGATATGTTCCTTTCCCCTCGGACTTAAAATGTTAAATTGATGTTTTCTTTGGAAATATCTTTAGAGAATTTTTGTGTATTTTAATTAAAACGGCTAAATTTTACATCAATCCAAACTTAACCCTGGCACTCAAAATTGTCTAGTTTCCAGCTCTGAATTTATGTACTATCTGATGCTCCTGAGATAAGACAATGTACACAACATGCTTTATATATGGTCCCTGCCTAACTGACACCAAGAAGAGGGTCCCCAATGCAAACGACAGGCAACCTCTATCTACAAATCATCACCAACTCTTACATTCAAATGTATTTGAATATTAACGATGAAAGTGTTTAGAAAATTGAATAGCAAAGCAAACAGGGTGTGACAACACAGAGAAGTTTAGATTTGCATTTGTAAGTGAAAAATCCACATCTGTTGTTATGGAATGAACATGAGAAAATAGATGGAAATACTGAAATGAAACATGTATTACTAGCCTATTATCAGAGTAACTAGCTCTGCAGAGCATATAACGGTAGGTCCTACCTTTAGGTGACATGTCACTTAAGACCAGATCTTCGTGGCCTTGCTCCACGATCCTGATGACGAACACTGGGCGCCCGTCCTTCTCCTCGATGGAGCACAAGTAGCGGCAGCGCCTGTTGGCGTAGCGCGTGCTCCAGTACAGCCGGCTGGCTTCGTAGCCCACGGGGAAGAGGGCTTTCGGAGAGTGGAACGCCTGCATCTGATGCGGAAGCAGCTGGCCAATGGTATGGAAGATGAGGCTTCCCACACGAAAGGTGTGGTCCCGTTCTCCTCGCTGCACGATGCTAGCAATCTGTCTCACCTCATCTCGCTGAACATAGACCCTCCTGAAGACCGCAAAGTAACTTAGTTCCTGCTCATGAACTCCCTTTGGTTTGTGCATGGGGCAAAGCATAGTTTTGTCCTTAAAAAACATGCATTGTGCTTTAATGGCGCAAGTAAAGTGATAAATGTTGGTGCATCGAAATCTGTGACATCCGCTGGTGGCACCTGTCTTATGACAGAAGACACATTTCATTTGCAGGCCCCTCCTCAGCGCTAGCTCCACGTTTATTAAGGCACCAGCCTGAGTCTCATAGACCTCCGTGGACCACAGAGCACAATTCAAGTGGACCCACAGATCCAAGTCGAGGTTGAGGAGCCTTGCTGGTCCGTCTGTCAAGCCATCACCTTCTTCATGACAAAAGCAACACTTGCGATAGTCTTTGGGCACAGGGTCAGGTTTGAGGGAAGTGCCCAGTTTCTTCAGAAATTCATCTATTTCTTCCTCACAAGGTGGCTTAAATGTCCCCTTGGGGATGACAAGATGAATGCTCCACTTCTTCCATTTCATCCCTCTCCACTTTTTATTTAATGGCCTACAGTCTTCAAACCCACCATGGACAGTTCTCAGCCGAGGCTTTAACTTGACTGTGACCTTCAGCTCATCTGGCTTGGCCTCTACTCTGGCTGCCTCAAAAGCAGGTGGGAACGCGATGGGTGGTGACGCAGGGGGGGAGGCTCTGTCCTGCAGCTGCGGGAGACAGTGCACGTCTAAAGTGGAGATGTTGTTGCTGTACTGATGAAACGCTTTGGAAGGTGCCTCTCTCATGGGGGACTGTGGCAATGATGGAATGGATTCCTGGGCAATAAAAAAAAAAACCACAGGAAAGAAGTCCCTTGGTACCTGTGGGGGATTGGTCCAGAATCTCCCCTCCCCCCATGTACCAGAATACTCAAGTCCCACAGTCGGCCCTGCAGAACCTAAGGATGTGAGAAGTTAGCCCTCCGTTTATGCATTATACTGTATTTTTGATCAGAGGTTGGTTGGAAAAAAATCTGCGTGTAAGTGGACGTGCACAGTTCAAACCCATATTGTTCAGGGGTCAACTGTAATTCATAAGCCCTAAAAGCAATTCTTGTGCAAACAAGAAGCCAAGCATATAGTTACCAGGGTGTGACTTGAGAGGCAGGCAGGAAAAGGGTCAGTGAGTGGTGAGGCTTCACGCGGAACACCTAAGGTGATAAGGACTGACAGAGCTGACCACAGCAGGGCAGCTGTGGGTGGGTCCTTTCCAAGCCTAACCTCAGAGAATATTCTCTCTTAAACCCTTTGTGGACACCTTCTTTCTAACTGTAATGAAGCCAGAAAAATCAAAGCTGTTAGCAGAGCTAGCTAATTTCAGGTGTATAAGGGAAGTGTTTTTTGTTAAACCAGATAGGACTGTTGCAACATCGTCTCCTTAGTGCTTATCCCCACTCTCAGTCTTCGTTAATTGGTGTAAGTGTGAGAGAAGGGGAAGGAGCCCCATGTCAACAAACAAATCATATGTGCTTTTCCCTGAGAAGCCCACAGACTCCCCTCTTCCCACATACCCCCATCCCACAAGGTATCTGAAAAAAGACAAGCCTCATACTAAACCCAGAAGTAGGCAGGAATCGCACATGGACTCAAGAAACTATCTGGTGGAAAACAATTCCTTCTCTCATCCAGGATAATATATTTTAAAGATTAAATTTATTAGTCATATAGCTTGGATTTTATTATATTGGGGACTACAGCCTGTTAAAAAATGAGTCTCCAGAAGGTTTTTCTGTGAAAGACATGCTAGAGCAATAATCTGGAGGGAGAAATGACCCACACAGGAAGAAAATTTCCTTCAAAGCATATGATTAAAAATATATCTATCATTTGTATCAACTACACACTCCAGATACACTTAAATTACACAAAACCAAGTGAAGCAAACTTTTTCCAACATGGTGTGGGCAAAATACTTTCTCTCAAAACGTAATAGACTTAAATTTTGTTCTTCAACAGGTTTTCCTATTGGGAAAAGATCAATAAAAACAATCTTAAAATGTTAAGATATTTGTAATTAAATTAGTACAATTAAAGTTTTTAGTATTAGTATTCTACTTAATCCTGAACTTTTAAAATGTAATTTCAGTCTTCCTACTTTTGTGAAATAACTTATTCACTTTGAAATAGCAACACAAATCGAGGCTATTTACAACTTCTCTTTCTCAGCTCGATTAGCATCTGCTCAGGATTTCCCTTCCACACGGAGACTCTATGAAGGCAGGAACACATCTGTTTAACTCACTAATGCACACCCAGACAGAAATCACTCATCACGCATTGTCGATTAGTTGAGATTATCCTAATTTTACCTTGATTTCTGAGTTTTTTGCTTGTGCAGTCGATGAATAAAGAATAAAGCAGTTATTACTACAAAAGACAATGTCCTTCTCCACTCTCCTGGCGCTTTCTCGGGAATCCTGAAAAGCAAAGAGAAATATGTGGGGCTCTCAACAAGTCAAAAATTCATAAAAACAGGTTCTATACATTGTTGACTTTTATGTTATGCTCAAAAGTGAGAGTGATTCTCTATTTTAAAAGTAAAAAGGTAACTATGTCCTAATATTTAGCATATAATAATTTAGCCATAGAGAAAATAAAAGCACAAAACAAACAATACTGTCCACACTTCATTCTATTTTAAAATATGTGGTCCTCCTAATATTCATTTTAACAGTCTGTGGTAGCATTCGGTTTTAAGCCCAAGCACATCTAATATATGCTATGCTACTTGCAGGAATATGTGCTCCATCATGCCACCACAGACAGACTCTCTCTGATGCTGGAACAGACATTGCCAAGGACAGTTTTGGTTGGACGCTGAGTCATGAAAAGAACAGTAAAGTACCTTGTTCACAAAGGTCAGATCTTTGAAAGATTTCCGCACACCACTTCCAAGAATAACCACTTTACAGTGACAACACCACTGTGGTCTGAGTGCTGCACCTTCTGCGATACTGTGACTAGGATCCTTATATCCAGAAATACCTAAAAGCAACCGACTTATGTTAGTAATTAAGACTGACTGATGACAGAGGGTGGTACAAGGTGTAAAATGACACTACATCAACTTGTTGTAACAACAAGGCTCATAACTTACTTTGTATGATTCTTTAACTAATAACAATCTTATCTTCTAAACAATAGTTATGGGGCATCTCTTATGTGCCACTGGGTACAAATAAAGAACATGCCTGTACTCAAACAGCTGGGAGAGCAAGGCTGTCATGAAGAAGAATCCTACAAAACCAAGTCACCAGGATATACTGATGTTCGGTGCAAGTGCAAAGTGAGTCACAGAGGGGAAGAGTTGTTACTTTTAATTGAGGGTTAAGATAATACAAGGATAGAGTCTTCAATAAGTGTGATTAGTCAAAAAGAAGGGAGGAAGGATGCTAGGCAAGATAAACACGTGCGGGACTCGGGCATCAGAGAGCACGGGGTACATCGAGCATCGCTCGGGTGGAGTGTGAAAGATGAACAGGGCAGGGGAAACGAGTGCCGGAAACAGAGGCTAAGCGCTCAAACATCAACGCAGACGATTTTCAAAAAGAGGTCAAAGATGGAACTGAGAAACTACTAGATTCTCGGATTAGGATGAGCATGGAAAGAAGATGGCAAGGAAACTGGGGAGCAAGGAGGTAGTGAGGACATGGGGCTGGATTGGGCACACACTGGGGACACATCCAGTGAGATGGGCAGGGAAGCCTGCGGACGTGGCCCTGCTTCCCGAGACAGGGGGCATGAGCGGCGCCATGGGAAGAGGAGGGTCCTGCAGAGAGAGGGCCGAGGGAGCGCACGAGGGAATGACGGTGGGGCAGAGAAGAGGAAACAGCCAGTGAGGGGCACCAGCCTCGGCCACACCATGTGAGCAGCAGAGGGTGTGGGGCGCGGGTGCAGAAGGCCCAGCGCCACTGCAGAGCCAGCGGGCTAGAGCTGCTGCCCGTGATCTGAGCACGAGGCTGGCACTGAGACACTCCTTGCTGACAGCATGGCATGAGACACCTACCCAAACACTCAAGGTCAAATCACACCACAGAAAACACAACGCCCACAGAAGGTTAATTTACCAAGGACTAAACACCAACACGTTGCCTGTTACTTTTTAAAAAGTAAATTGAGATTTTACAAAGAATAAGCTTAACTTTTGAATCAAGAATGGATTTGGGGGCCGGCCTGGTGGCGCACTGGAGCGCGGCGGCGCTCCCACCGAGGGTTTGGATCCCATGTGGAGACCGGTTCCTGCTCACTGGCTGAGCACGGTGCGGGCGCAACACCGAGGGTTGCGATCCCGTTACCAGTCAGTAAAAAAGACAAAAAGGAAAAAAAAAAAAAAGAATGTATTTGGAGTTAACAAAAAGCCCACTGGCTCACCATTGCTTGCTGGAGAAAATGGCACGTTAGGCTGCTTCAGCCGGTAAGAGCTCGCCAATCTGGGAGGGTTTGCAGATCCTGGCGGAGGCCCACGAAGAAGTAAAGGCTGTCGACAGTCCAAACCTGGGTTTACTCTGTGGCTACTGACCAAACCCACAGATGGAACCTCTGGAGCATTACTAACCTCATAGCTGTTAGGAATTCGGACGTGAAGAAGGTTGGAAAATGCAGCGACAACACTGCTAATGTTCTAAAACAAAGTGCAAACACTGTGTTACCCACCCAGAAGGCAACAGTGAACCACTCAAGAAAAATACATACTTAGGATACATGCTATCTGCATAGCATATGCATTGCAAGAAAACCCAACAACTTTTACTTAAGTCTTGAAGAGTCTCAGTGAGAAAAAAAAAAAATTGTTTTAATGGACCAATATCCAAATAAAGCTTTCGTAAACAGCAATCTTCATAAAGGTATTCCAATTAACATTAAATAGTTGGGAACACATTAAACTATTCTAGTTATCTTGATATCCGATGGGCGAAAAGAATGCAACAGTGAGGGATGAGCCAACCATGTCAGTTTTCACAGTAGGTCAGAAGCCTTCAGGAGGATTCTAAACAGCTCTGGCCAAAAGTCTGAAACTGTCTACAAGAACATACAAATGTCACATGACCACTGTATTTTGCTGACAACCAAAATGTCACGTCACTAGACTACTAGTTTGGTCTCCAATAAAATGTCTTCATAGAATTCAGAGTTAAAAAAAATAAAAAATCCTCAGCAAATTGCTAGCATTTGACATAAGTAGCTGCTACCTAAAGAACATTTCTATTGCTTCTGTGAAACTTTTATTGTTGATAAAGTTCTTTTTCATTGCTTAATTTTCTACAGCGTTAACAGTTACAAAAAGGTTTCTATCTAAAGAATTCTTTAAAGTATACAACCTTTATTAAGAAAATGTGAACCCTAGCTTCCCTTTTTGCCTTGACTTAGGCTGAGACCAATTTAATCTCCATTACAGTACTCACAAGCAGCCCAGGTGCTTGAAACGACTACCAATCCTACCCTCAAGTTTGATCTTTTATCATTCATGATTTTGCTGTGTGTGTTTCACTGTAAGCAACCTAACACATCTTTAAAAACAGGGACGTGCTCTATAACATTAAGAATTCATTTCATTTTTTACCTCAGCAGCTGTAGGGTGCAGGGTGATTGCTACAGATATAAGACCTGATCTGGGACCATTTGGGGATGAACCAAAAGGTGATGTAAAATATAAAGTGCCTGGCTCAGTTTTGACATCATTCCTTCTTGATTCTGAACCTTAAAAAGAAAAAAGGAGTGTTACTGGCTTTTCAAAATCAAAACATTTATAGTAGTGCAATGGCATATTACAAAGAGAAATAATAAGGCTAAGTATTTTCCTTACTTTTCCCGGCAGTGCTAGGAAGAATTGGAATGATGGGGGAAGGCACCGGCTCCGGAGGCTCCTCTTTGACCAGTGACAGATCTGGATACCTGCTCACCTCCACCCCAACCACACTCTCAGGAGAGGACGAGGGAACAAAACTGTCAGGAGTATCCCGATCTCCACAGTGATCCTGCATCCTGAAAGAAGAATAAACACACATGTCGAAGCATGGAAACCCACCACTGAGGCTTCCTGCACCAACCCAACTGTGTCTGCCAGCACGATGGTAAAGATACTCTGGGCAATAGCAGCAATGTGTGGGGTAAACGAATCCATTCAGGGCCAAACAGGGAACCTCTTGGGAAAAATGTAAGACATATGATTAGCTATCAAATAGTTAAATGGTGTACTTCCTTATGACTAAAGCTTCAGCATCAAAGTTTAAAGCCCTGCCAAAGAGGGCAATGTCCACATTGTAACATAACATGGAAACAATGAGTACTGACACCTGTGTGCAGTTCCAGATCACTGAGACTTACAGGAACTCTCCTGTAGCTTGAATAGGAAAGAGCAGTCCAAACACATCCAGTGGCCACACCTGCACGCAACTGACTGCTGCTACTGTCTGTAGTAGCAAGATGGGAGAAAACTTGGTCATTATGGCTTCAGAGGCCTTATTTTTCTTAACTGATAAAGTAAGGTGAAAAAAGGAAGAGGCTGGTCCTTTCTGTCGAGGGCAATGGTGAGATCTCAGGCTAAGAGTCGTAGAGCCTCGGCGAATCTGTCATCTCCCACTGCTCGCGCACAGAAGATGCTGTCCTGCTGCGGGAGACCAAGACAGGCTTCCAGACAGAGCTCTGTGAAACCCAGAAGTGTAGCAGATACCTGCCCTAAGTCACCAAACATGGACACCTAGGAAGCCGCTTCCAAAAGCTGTTGAAAGGGTACGCTGCTCTCTATTAATAAATATGGGAATTTCCAGTAGTGAGACCTGGATTCTAACTCTGTACAAGTCACTCTCCTTTTCAGTCCATAGTTTCCTCAGTAATAAGATAAGGGACTTAGATTAAATGTATGTCTCATCACATGGAGGGTAGTTCACAGATTTTCCAAGGAAGAGATGATAATTTCATGCAGGATGTAAGAACTCCCTGGATCCAACTACTTAGGTAGTGATCATGTAGTGAGGGAACCCAAATTAGAATCCTGGGGCTAAAGAACTGACACAAAGAGGTTACAAAACTTCAGACGGGACAGTCCTTTACCTCTTCTACTATGGCATTCTCTGTGACTATTTAATTATTTAGACTATTTTAGACATCTACAAGGTCAATAAACACATTAATAACTTATAAAGGACAATGATCTTTGCAATACTTTGCATGGAGACTTTCCATTGCCTAATGTCAATCTGATTATTATCATTTGTTGAACTCCCTATATAAGAATGTAAAAACTAATTATATTTAATAGTAACAATGTCTTATAAACTTAAAAATTCTGAAGAATATTATTCAGCAAATTTTATCCCTCAAACGTTTTTCCATGCTCTTCCTACAGACATGTTAATTACATACATAAAGAAATAAATAAAAATTATTTGAGAAAAAAGGAACTTCTACCTTAATTCTTCCTGATTGTTATGAGGTGGTGTTGGAAGTGAAGCTGGAACATCAACTGTCTTTGGACCCTGAGCAATGGCTCTGGCTAACAAGTCATCCTGTGGTCTGAATGGCAGCTGAAATGGTTTAGGTCCTAGAGTTTTGGTAACTGGAAAAACGCATACACAAAACCAGAAATACACTTAGTTAAAATTGATAAATGAGTGGAACTTTACAATTCTATGGCCACTTTGCCATATTCTGCTGGCAAAGGCATACTTCTCAGAGGAGTGAGATTTGGAGGCTGCAATCTTACCTTCATGGCTCACTAACACTCCAGCTTTTCCAGCAAGTTCTTCAGTTGTCGCAAAACCATTTGCCATCTTCTGACAAGTCATAGGAGGTGGTGTAGGAGGAAGAGAGGCAGGGGGTGTTGGAGGATTACTTAAATTATTCTGCTGCAGGAGACCAAAAAATTTTAAATTATATGCTACTGAGCAAATATGCATTGACCTTGCTAAAACTTAGTTCTGAGAATTTTTAGCAGATGGAAGCCAAGCTACAGAAATGTAATCAAGATGAACCTTCATTCCCAAACA